ATATGTACTATAGGATTATGGGTTCAAACTATATAGACTATGAATTGCATTAATTGTTCAATATTTACTGTTAAGTCTCACGTCACTCTGCCTAGTAACTGAGATAGGCTTCAGACTCTCTCAACTCTATTCTCACAGAATATGCATTTCATTAATTATGTTTGTCCAATGTTTCCTGTTCAAGATTCACGTCACTCTGACTACGGAGGGAGACAGGCTTCAGACTCTCAACTCTATTCTCCATACAGAAGGTATCTTAATGAAATGTAGAGCTGATCACATTCCTTAGCCACTGTAAAGTTTAACTGACTCTTTACCAAATAGATATAGTCCAAATTCTCTTACATAGAACAGCTCCTCATAATCTGGCCACAGCCTAAATTTTCTGCTATAAACTCATTACCAGTGGCAAACATTCCTTCCTGCATTTTCTGAACAAATGTTTGTCTGGAAAGTAAAAATTCTAGGGCTGGAGGTGTAGGTAAGTGGTAGACCACATGCTTAGTATACGTGAGGGCCTGGGTTCCATTCTCAGGACTAAAATATCTCTTTCCCCTTCTCTACCACTAGAATTTCTATATATCTTACAGGGTTGAAAATACAGGTCTCCTCTCATTGACGTTTTTTAAGTCTTCCAAGCAGAATAAATCCTTCCCCTACTATACTTCCATGCCATTTTGTACATATAAGCACTCAAACTCAAAGTAATTTGTTGACATACATACATTTCCTTCTTTCATTTATCATTGTATTTCCTGTAGCTTCTTACCAGCCCATCACATATTAGGTATTTACTGTGTTGCATTTACAAAGATAAAAGAACTCCACAATATGTAAATCCTACCAAGAGAGTGATCCCTTTGTGAACTAAATCTTTCTGTACAATACATAAAAGACAGATGCAGCCTAAAACTGGTTTTCATTAAATGTTTTCTAATAACTGTAACTCCATTAAGAGAAGTTAAATTAATACAGAGTTTTGAGCATCTACAACATGTCAGATATACTAGGCATTTACAAGCATTATCTCCTTTAAAAAGGAGAGGGGGAATGGGATAAAATAATTCATTTTAAAAAAATTAACTGGTGTAAAAAAATAAATAAAATGAACTGGTAAGTTGGCAACTGAAAAACACAAAATAAAAAAATAAATAGAATTTATCATTTGTTTTACAGATTAAGAAACTAAGATTCTGAGATATTAAGTATATGGGTTGCCTTGAATTAACATGGCAGAGTTCAAACAGAAATAAGATTTTTCTCAGTCAGCCCATGGTCTTTGCAGTAAAGCCTATGTTTAAGCATGTTTAAGAAGCTGGGTGTGGTGGCACACGTCTGTAAATCCCAGTACTCAGAAGCTGCAGCAGAAGGACTGCCCAGAATTCAAGGCCAGTCTGAAGAATACAGAGAGACCCTTCTCAAAAACACCTCCCCCCAAAAAAGGCATGTTTAAGTATTTGAGGGTCAGTCACAATACATGAGAGTATGCATCTGGAATCAGACTGCACTCAACACCTCTGTGTCCATCCCTTTCCTCATCTCTAAAATGGGAATAAATAATAGTATAAACTGCATAGGACAGTTATTAAGATTAAAGAATATAAATCAAGGGGGAAGTTAAAATGGGTTATATACATGTACCAACTCCCCATGATGATTGTGATCATTATGTACTACAAATATGTACTAATAAAAGTTTTTAAAAATAAGCAATTTTTTAAAAAAGAATATAAATCAAGACTTGCATAATGGTGCATGTTTAGAGTCCCAGATACTTGGGAAGCTAAGTGGGAGGATCACTTGAGAACATGAGTCTGATTCCAGCCTGAGCGACACAGTGACACTATGTCTCAAAAACCAAACAAATAAAAATCACACCGAACAAAAAAACTGAAAATCAGAACACTACATTCCTATATTAATGGAGACAGCCAGGCCAGGGATTTAGCTCAGTGGTTCCGCCACCTGCCTTGCAAGCACAAAGTCCTGAGTTCGATCCCCAGTACCAAAAAAAAAGAATGGAGACAATTAAGTTGAATGTACTTAGCATACACCTGCTCTTTTTGAGGTCTAAAACCTACATTAAACTACCAATTGATATTAATCTAAACTTCAATAATAAATTCATTCCCAGTCAGGTATGTTGGTACACAATGGAATTCCTCCTACTTGGGAGTCTAAGGCAGGAAGATCATAACTTTGAGACCATCCCAGGCAATTAGCAAATAAAATAAAAAGCTGGGAATGTAGCTCAGTGGTAGAGTGCTTGACTAGCATTTATAAGGCCCTGGGTTCAATCACCAGTACTGCAAAATATAAATAAATTAATTAACTCTCATGAATGACATTATTAACTACCAGTCTGATGTTCAAGTTATTTCAGCTACCCAGACAGGTTTACAGTTTACTCTTATATTTCAAGCAATTTTATCAAAACAAAAATACCAAAGTTGAGCACTGGGGATAGAGGTCAGTGACAGAGTGCTTGCCTCCTATGATCAAGGCCCTGTGTTCAGTCCCTAGTATTGAAAAATAAAATAAATTTCCACAGTTGACTGACATCAAATAGAGACCCTCCTCTCAAAACTTTCAGGAAAGAAGAACTTCAAACGTCACAGTTTTTAGCTACCAAATGGTTAGATTAGGCTTTCAACTGAGAAATTATTTCCATTAATTCTATCATTGATCCAGTCATCCATTCAGCATATTGAGTTCCTATTAAGTAAAAGGAATATGAGGATACAAAGTATATCCATATCCAGTACATTAGGGTAGCCTAAAGAATATATGTGGGAACAATGGCAAATTATTTGACCTGTCTATCCTTATTCTTACCTATTAAGAGTTATAATAACTGTTCTATCTCAAAGATTTATTACTAGGATCAAATGATATACTGACATACAAAACAGGCATTTTCAAATATAAGATTATTAATAAAAATTGGAAATAAAGTTATACTACAAGAGTTATCCTTGTTTCTAGAACCAATAATAAGCTTGTTTTATTATACTGTTTAATGTAACAAAAATGTAAGAGTGCAAAATATCTTGATTCTGTGCTCAAGTATTAAAGTGGTAAAAAATTTAAAAGGTTCAATTACTTTCCTTATAGAGCTTACATTTGAGTAGGGATAATAAAACTCTCAAATAACCATAATACAATGTAAATTTAGCAAGTAATAATAAGACTTTATAAAGCCTATCACACAAGAGAAAAAGAATCTTTCATAGAGATGGTAGATTTCAGAAAGTTTCATAAGGTAGATTTTAAGGCACAAAAGGGTAGAATTTCCACAAAGATAATGAGAAAGGCCTTCCTTATAGGAAAAAAAAAATATAAGCAAAGATTAAGGCAAGTAGCCATATAGCATGTTCAGAAATCTCACTTCAAAATACCCCAGTTTAGCTAAAAAACATAGGATGTGTGTTATTTTTTTAAAAAACAAAAGGGTCATATTGATTTGAGTTATACAAAGATTTAATTTAATGTTTGTCTGTTTTTTGACACAGGGTTTTGCTTTGTAGTGCAGGCAGGCTTTGAACTCACTATGTAGCTAGCCCACGCTGATCATCAACTCTCAGAGATTCTCCTGCCTCAGCCTACCAAGTACTGGGATTACAGGCATCCACCATATGCCCTGCTAAGACTTAAATTTCAAAGGGCTTTGAATGACAATATTTTAAAATTTATTCTGGGCTGGGGAACATAGCTCAGTGGCAAAGCACTTATCTAGCATGCATGAGGCCCTAAGTTCCATCCCCAGCACCACCAAAACTAAAAAACAAACAAAACAACAACAACAAAACTATTCTGGAGCCAACAGAAAGTCACTGAATATCTCTGAGAGAAGAATGACCAAAAGATGGCATAAGACCTTTGGATTTTAGAAGTAATGACACAGGCTGGAAGTAAGCACTTGTCCAGTACATTTAAGGTCCTGGGGTTTCATTCCCAGCACCAAAGGGGGAAGGGGGGGGCGGTAATTATGCAGAACAGTGACTTCAAGGAGGACAGGCTGAAAGCAGCAAGTCCAGTTTGGAGGCTATTGGTATAAAAAAAGAAAGATGTGCACAGTGGTGGTGGGAATGAAAAGGGGAAGAACTAGGGAGGAAAGTTAGGATTGGCCAGGCACAGTAGCACATGCAGGAGACTGAGGCAGGAGGATTGCTTTGAGTTCATGGCCACCCTGAGCTACATAGTTGAGTTCAAGACCAGCCTTAACCACACAGCAGCAAGAAGAATAAAGGAAGGGGGGGGGGAGGAAAGGAGAGAGGGAGGGTAAACAAGGAACATAATGGAGGAAAGATA